TTTTTCGTTTCTTTTTTCATGTTTTTTTCGTTTTTTTCGTTTCGTTTTTGCTTTTCATTTATTTTTCGTTTCTTTTTTTAATTTTTTTTCGTGTGGCATTTTGGTTTTCATTTGCTTCCTCATTTGTCATTTTGGTGTTCATTTGGTTCATCATTTATTTAATTTGTGATGTTGGTTTTCATTTGGTTACTAAGTTTCTTCTCATCTGTCATTTTGGTCTTCATTTGGGTCATACTGTTTATATTGTTTCTGATAATTTCGTGTGCTTTTTTAGTGTTCATTCAGGGCTGTCTCTTCACTAACCTGTTTTACTTCCCATTCCTGTATGACAAATTTTTAGGCCACTAGGCCACTAGGCTCAGGCTTTTGGGGCCCAGTGGTTTAGCTCAGCAGCTTGCAAGTTGCATTCCATGATTTTGATCCTTGGTTTCGATTGCTCGGGAAGGGATGGGTGAGGGAATCCCTTCACGCATTTATACATAGTTTGAGGCGCTGACTGTGACTGAAGTGATTTTGGAAGCCCATAAAAATGACAGCAAAGCCAACCAGTTCTGGAAGGATGAACATGACGCAAAAAAAATGATAATCCCAAAATAAATGAAAATAAAACAAAAATATTTTGTAAAAAAAATGATGATCTAAATGAAGATCTAAATTAAAAAATCATAAAAATCAACTTTCCATTGCCTGGCTGGCAAAGATTGACTTAAGACTACTACTTGAAGACCGTGACAGTTTGAGCAAAGGCCTGACATGTACAGGTGTGGACGAAGACAAGACATGGAAACACATTCAGCTTGCAGATGGAGATGCCATTCTACAGGTCTTCGTTTGTCGATGCAGGTATGTGTGCATGCCACCTTACTTTGTAGATACAGGTATGGCTGAATGGTAGAGAGTTGCAAAGTGAATGTCAGACGCGCAAGGACATCAAAGTTAAAAAACCCACACACATACCGATGATTCGCTCCAAGGATATCTTTTTCCCGGACGCGGACAAGCGTGCATTGCTGCTTTTCAGACGAGTGTCTCTACTCTAATCAAAAATCATCATTTCCTCGTCATCGTCCGACTCTCCCAACAACCGGCGCAATTGCTGGTTCTCCGCTTCAAGCGCCCTGACCTTCTCGTTGGCCTGGTCCAATTCTTCCTGTGTGTGAGACAAAGCGCAGAAGATGCCCTCAAAGTCCGCGGTTTTCGCTTTCGGCTTCTTTTCTGTCATCTCAAGCTGCTCAATGACCTGGATAAAACGAGGGTGCTCTTCCACTTTCCTCTGCTTTGTCTCCGAAGATGATGACGAGGAGTCTGAGGACGAAGATGACGATGACTTACCTTTCTTGGGCTTCTTTTCTTTGCGGTCATCTTTTTTGTCTTCGATGGCGAGCATTGATGGTTTCTTGGAAGGGCTTGGCCAGCAACGTCTCGAGGCGGGCAGTCGCATCGTGGTTCCACTGTCCACTTTGGCCGGGAACAAGCAGCATCTGGCGCTGGATGGTATTCATGGCATTCGTAAGGAACTTAGAAGTCAATGGCGTACGAGACGAATGCACTGTAAGGTCACCAGCTTTCGCCTGCAGGGTTGTGAGTACAATTTTTCGACGTGATGGATACTTTGACTGACTTTTGTTTGACCATTTCTTATTATTATGGTACTTTTTGATTTTCAGTCACACAGAGCCTTGGCAATGATGTCACCTGAGGATGGGCGTGGTACAAGATTGACGGTGACCTCTGGCTCCAGGACAACCATGGCACGCTGACCATTGAATTGCACCTTCCCCTTGACGTTCATGGGAGAAGATGCCATCAACAAATACTACGCAGTGAACACCTAGTAGTCTTGATGAATCACAAGCTGCCACGACAAAATTTTGGCGATTGCACTGACGCGAGCTCCTCCAATACTTAGAGAATTGAGGCAAGAGAGAGGTACGCACAGGTACGCGTACCTCCTGGATTGAAGATTGAGGATCAAGACTTGGTACGCGTACCTGTGCGTACCTCTCTCTTGCCTCAATCCTCTATAAGTACTGGAGGTGCCTTACTCTCCTTCATTACATCATCGATTCTTATATAGATATATACATATATATATATGGTACCCTCCCATGTGGAAAGTGCATCAAAAACACACTCTTTTTTCACAAGTTCCAAAGTGTCAATAAAGCTCCACAAATACCAATAACAACCAAAAAAGGTAGACGCTTGGGGGGGTGGTACCATATAAATATATACTGATATGTACACATAATGTAAAAAAAGACTAGTTAGACACTATTGGACACCGTTTTCGATCCTTAAAACCATATTTTAGGGACGTAACGTGCCTCAAGAGCACAGGCCTCCTACCAGGCAGTGCTGATTTACTCGTGAGCCTCTTTTTGAGGTCCTGCCATTACGTATCCGTGTGCTTGATGAAGAACCGCACGTTCTCGAACCCTCAGTGAGAAACCGCACTGGTGCATCCGGACTTCAAAGTTAAAGGTTGGCCAGACGCTCCCCCCTTCGCCTCATGTTCCTATGCTGTTCCAAGCGTTCCCGTCTCCTTCACTCAATTCAGATAGAGATGTGAGGGCAATCCAAACATTAACATACATTTGCGTTTCTCCACGCATAGAACTCAATCAGTAACCTAGGGGTATTGACACATCTAGGATCATCTAGGCTGATTTTATGCTCCAATGAACGCCAAGTAGTACCCAACGAAGATCTTCTGGTCGAACACTGGCGCGCAGGCCCCAGAGAGCCCGAGTGCCAAGTCTCACAAGGTCCAGATCTGGGCGTCTGGGCATTAAAGGGTGAAGCGTGTCTTTAAGCAGATGGGGTTATGCGGCAATTAAGACTTACTACGACAAACATCAGGGCGTGCCCAAAATATACTCCATCCTCAAACCAAAACTGCGTCCGTTGTCCCGTCGAACGAGACACAGACGACAGCTTGGATTGGAGGAGTTTGTAGATGATTCACCCGATTCCCCCCTGACTGCACTTATGGTTCCAGGGTTTCAGGTCGACTGGCACAGGGCAATTGGACTCTTCACAGCAACCACAGCTAGCTCCGGTTGTTTATGGGAGGCCATTTGACTTGCTCTGACTCGTCCCAGGAGGCCTATATAATAAATACGCGAGACCCAGTGTGAGGAAGCGTGGTACCCTTGCTTCTGGTGCACATTTGAGTCTTTTCGCCCGTGGCCAGCGGCTGAAGTAGGGGGATAAACAAGACGGCAAGAGCCAGACAATTCTATCCAGAGATCTTGGTCTTGGATCATCAAGACTGCTTGGCCGGGAAGTCGTATACAAGATGTTCCAACCCCTCCAGGGAGGCTCATGGGTTGGACAATAGCCGCAGCTTTGGAGGCTTTCCATTGTCGAACCCAAGCCACTGCCAGGCGTCTGAGGCGACAGCCGCTACTGGCCTCGTTCCGTTTCTCGGTGACATGTGAAGGGGGGCCTCGGGTGTTTGTATATTGATCTGACAATGTGGGTGTGAGATGGGACTCATATTCTTTTAGGCCCACTCAGATTAGTTGGTTGGTTGTGTTGAGAAGCAACCATTCCTGTACCAACATGTCAGTTGATGCTGTCCCTGGCTCAACAAGGCCTCGAGGTTGTGTACAACTGGAGCCCAACAGACCGAGTGCACTCTCACTTTCACTCCACTCCCCTCTGCTCACCTCACTAAATTCACTCATGACTGACTGACTGACTTACTGACTGACTGACTGACTCTCGCTCGCTTGCTCCGTTCGTGCCTGGCCGCAGGCCTTTCGAAGGGATCTTATTCAGCATCATGGCCCCACCCGAGTGAACACCTTGCAGCCACAGTTCTGAGTTTCCTATAGTTTCTTGGCAACCTAGGATCGCAGATGCATCGGTGGAGGACACGGGGAAAGCTGCCAAGGCCGGGGAGGGTTTGCGTTTGTCTTCCAGCAAGCCTTCTGCAAGGCCATTTTTGTTGGCCCTCCGAGCCGTAATCATGGGGTGCACGCTCGAGGCTGTTGCTGCTACCAATGTTACAGCATCCTTCCCAGCTGCCTGGATGGAAGTAACAATATCAAGAAGTCGTTAAGTTAGAAGATGACTGTACGAAGTAAGCGCACAGTTGAGCAACATTTGCTAAGTGTCTCAGGGGCTCGCCGTGCACGGAATATGCGTGCACGTCTCACTGATGATGTCACTCGTTCTCCTTCCCTTTGGAAGAAGAACGGCCTTACGTCCGGCCTTTGGAAACGGCACCCTGTGTCCTTTTGGGCGTGTTCTGGGCCTTGCTTTTCCAGGCGAAGGCAAGCCCAAAGAAGCGGCAATCCAAGGTGAGGTGCCCCAAGGAAATCAGATGGCGTCGGATGTAGCTTTTGCTGGGCACCTGAAGCTGCTAAAGACAATCTATATAATAGCAATGGCCTCCAACCTAATAGCAATGGCCTCCCCCTAATAGCGATGGCCTACCCCTAATAGTGTGCTTTTTGAAAGCCGCTAAAGGCAATCTAGTGTGGGATGCAGCGTTGAGCAGAAGAGTCTCAAGCAATCCTGGCCTTTTGTTCAGCAGGCTCGCATCTCTGGCGAAGAGAAGGCTGGAAGGATGTGTACTGCACAACGAGAGCTCTTCTTCATTGTCACGTTGCCCCTCATTCATGCATGTTGGTCCGTTGAAGACCCCCGTCGTGCGTTCCAAGGCGAGTTTCTTGTGGGAACCAAACCTTAAAATCATTAATCACACAGAAAAGCAAACGGTACAAAACCATGATAACTACACACACACACACAAAAACGTTGAATACGCACAAACAGAAAGGCGGGCTCCTATGGGTGTAAATTTCCGTTTGTAATTAGAACATGGACAATCTATCATAAAATCATAGAACATCTTTGTTTATTACAGTATATTTTGCAGGTCCATGTGCCAACCCCCTAGCAAAATGCATATTTTTCATCACTTGCATCTGCTGCCCACTTCAATCATGCGCAAAAGGCATCAGACAATGCACATTTGGTACCACATGTATCTATACCCACTGAAAAACCACACCAATAGAAAAACCATAGTAAAACTGCAATAATCAATAACTAGAAAACACAATCACAAACCAAAAAGAACACCACAGACACAAGGAAAACACGCAAAGACTCTCTGCTGCCGCCCGCCCAAGAAGGTTCTTGAATGTTTTTGTTTTTCTGAGACGCACAGACCTGCACTCCATGGAAGCCTAAGTCTTGGAAGTCTGCATTTAACCCTTGCATATTCACTATATTTATTCCTATTGATTTCCTTTTAACTTCATTTTGATTCTGGTTGAGCCCCTTTTTAAGAACACCATGATTTCCTCTTACTGTCTATAATTCCTTTTGATTGCGATTGATTTTCTATATGTACGTTTTGCTGAGTGTTTGAGCCTATGCATACCCAAAACACGGTAAATCAAGCATTTGCAAGGCAAGCTTTACAGCTCTACCAACGCTCACTCTCTAGAAAAACAGATGTGTTTTGCTTTGGGATTCCTCAGACCTGCCCTGCACCAAGTGGTCAGGCCAAAAGCCCCACCAAGCGCCAATCGAAGGTGGAGAGCTTCCCGGAGTGGGCGGAGTGCGGGCGGAGGGGCAAAGTCAACCCGTTCTCTTCGCGTCCGTTCCAAAGCACCTCAAGCCCACCGAACACTCAATGCCATCGATATCCTAACCGTCCACCACGATGCCTTGTCCGAATATCTCAGTGCAATTCCGAATTCATGAGGAATTCATGAGCAATTTGTCTGTCAGCAGTGGTTCTCGCCGTTTGGTGGAGTGGATTGGCAGGTAGACTCAAAACTCATTTTTCGGTGGATTTTCCGCACCATCCAGGGATGCAAAGAAGAAGCGCCCTCATCATCCCACTTCCAAGAAGCCAGGCACGCAACTCCCTAGCACAAGCCGCTGCAGAGGAAGACGAGGATGGGCTCGGCTCTTCATGTAGGCATGCATCGAAGACTTTGCAACTTGTTGGTGGACCTGGTCTAGCATAAGATTTACAGTATGGCTGCCTCATATTACGATTTCGGGTCAGAACGGTATCATCTCATTTTGTAGCCTTGGCCCAGTTTTCCGAGTGAGGCTTCTCCAAAGAGATGCTATCAAGGGTTTGCAACGATACGTTTGATGCTTAATTGGTTGGTCTTTCGCAGACGACCACCTAGCCAGACCCAACCAGACCACCTGGCCAGACTGCAGATCAAGATGCCTAGGTGGTCAGACCTACACAACCAGACCCACCATCTGATGTCAGGAGGGATGGCCGCCTGTACACTCCGACAGCCGCCTGGCGGCGTGGGATAGAATAGGTGGAGGATGTTGGCCAAAGAGAGGGGCCCAGATTGGGTTGCTAACATGATCTACTAATGACTATGTAGTGTTGTGGAACTATACGTGACTCCCGAGACTCATGTTCTGAGCATCTGCAGGTTGATATAATATTGATATATTGGCAGCCACTTTGCAAGGAACGGTCTCACTGCCCCAGGTCATTTCACATGCTTCTTGGAATCGCCAAGGGGGTACTTGTGCGTCAAACCATGAGCGTCGAACACTTGTTCTGTGGTGCTCGACGTGAACAGAAATCGACATCATGAAGAGATACCCGTGCTGTGCCGGAAAGTGTAGGACCAGGACTCAGGATCCCAAGATATGCCAGACACTTTATCCTCAGTGATGGGATAGTTTGATTGACACCGCTTCTGAGGTAGTGGTGAAGAGCTTGTCTGGATAGGGGGCGGCCATGCAAATGTGACTTGGCAGGTAACGCAATTGGATGGGGACTATGTCACTGTCTGAGATCTGGGGTGATGAGTGTTTTTGTTCCACCTTGTAGTGAGTTTGAAGATGTTTCAGGTAGGTAACTCTAGAAGGATCGCTCCCCAATAATGCTGGAGCGTTAAGATTTGAATATCCGGACAAAAAGCTTAACTTCTGCAACAGCTCAACAGGTGAAGGGCCTTTAAAACGAGTTGAAAAGTGAACAGTGGGTGAAAGTGGATGGTTTCACTACCGTTTCACCTTGATTGCGAACTTCAATCCCACTACTAGATGACTCCAGGGATACTCTTTGGGCCATCTGTTTGGAGCACCAGGGTTTGGTGGTTCATATTTTGTGTCTTGCCGAAAAGAGCAGGGGCAGTGCTGGGGGCAGCGCTGTTAAAGGAAGACATCCTTGAATCCTTGACAGCCTCAGTCCGAGATGTGCAACACGAGGCTTAACAAGGGATGACCGTGACCATTTTCCCATTCCATCTCTACTGAGTGTACCAAGTTACAGGTGCCACAAATGCTGCCATCCAAGGCATCTCCCAAGCCTCGGGCGAAAGCCAAAGTGCAGCCCGGCCAGGCGTGTAGAGCGCATACATCGGGCCCATACTCAGCCACTGTGGCGAGGTTTCCACCTATGTAACTGTTGTATCCCAGCCTGCTTGGTTGACACACATAGTGCACTCCCAGAAAAACTACGGAAGCGAAGCAGCTGGGACCTTGGATCAACACTTTTGGGCATCCGATTCAATCACCACATCCTTCTGACCAACAGCAAACAGTCTTCCCGCCCCCTTTTCATGACCAGGAAGCGGCTCCGAAGAAACCGGCAGAGGCGAGCGGCTTGGGTTTCTGAACTTTTCGCAGGGTTCTTCCGTAGCGGAGCATCAACATTTACAAGGTGGACCCTAGGCTAGACGAAAGTGAGGATGGGATGTCCATGACCGCTTCAAGACAGGCGCCAGCTCCATCGGTGCCAGCTCCTCCAGCGCCAGCTCCGGCTGCGCAGTTTCCATTGCCTGGCCGACCAGAGGCCAGAAAGGTACTCGGCAGTGGTGTGAGGTCAGCCAACTGGGATATAGAGACGATTTGTTACAAGGAAAAAACATCGGAGACTTTGGTTTGGCAGTGAATTTGTGCGGAAAAACGTCCTATCAGTGACTCAGGGTACGGATCGGCGACTAGGATCAGCGACTGTCGGATCAGCAACCACACGGATCAGCGACCACATTTCCCAGCATCAACGACCAAGTGTGGATCAGCGACTATGGATCAACGACCAGAAATCTATAGATCTACGACTAAGACTAAGACATCCGCGAACAGTTATATCGAGCAGACTATCTATCTATCTATCTTTCTTTCTTTCTTTCTTTCTTACTTATCTTTCTTATCTATTTGTCTGTCTATCTATCTATCTGTCTATCTATCTATCCGTAGCCGTAGCCCTAGGCCGTAGCCGTAGCCGTAGCCGTAGCCGTAGTAGTAGTAGTAGTAGTAGTAGTAGTAGTAGTAGTAGTAGTAGTAGTAGTAGTAGTCGTAGTCGTAGTCGTAGTCGTAGTCATTGTGTAGTAGTGGTGGTTGTGTTAGTATTAGTAGTAAATAGTAGTATTCGTTGTCGTCGTCGTATGTGCAGTGGTATAGTAGTATAGTTCGTCGTCGTCGTCATCGTCGGAGGAGTCGCCGTCGGAGGAGGAGTAGTAGTAGTAGTACTAGTAGTAGTGCTGGTGCTAGTAGTAGTAGTAGTGGTGGTGGTAGTAGTAGTAGTAGTAGGAGTGGGAGTAGGAGTAGGAGTAGTAGGAGTAGTAGTAGGAGTAGTAGTAGTAGTAGTAGGAGTAGTAGTAGTAGTGGTAGTGGTAGTGGTAGTGGTAGTGGTGGTGGTGGTGGTGGTGGTAGTAGTAGTAGTAGTAGTAGTAGTAATAGAAGTAGTAGTAGTAGTAGTAGTCGTAGTCGTAGTCGTAGTCGTAGTAGTAGTAGTAGTAGTAGCCGTGATCGACGGGTAAGATGGTTGAAGCCGTGGAAACTCAAGTTGATTTTCACACGTTTTCACGCGCGAATTGTTTTTTCACGCGCCCATTTCTTGATTTTTTTGAAAAATGAACTCAGGGAGTGTGACTGTGTATGACTACAGTCACAAGGCCCATCCTGGCGCTGGCGACCGATCCGGTATGGTTGGTTTGTTTGTTTTCTATTTCTTTTGCTATACCTCTCTGGTGACCGATCCTGGCGACCGATCGGGCGTGGTTGGTTTGTTTTTTTCTTCCCTTCGTGTGTGGCGACCGATCCGGTATGGCTGGTTGTTTTTTTCTCTTCCCTTCGCTATGACAATTGTGTGGTGACTGATCCTGGCGACCGAGTCGCTATTGTTCGTGGCTTGGTGATCGATCCGATCTCTTCTGGCGACCAAACTGTATATTCCAGCGACTGATCCGAATAATTATGGTGATCGATCTGTGGCGACCGGTCCGACCATTTTCGTCACCGATCCTGGTGACCGATCCGACGTCCACCCAATTGTTCTACCAAAGCGCACCTTTAAGTTCGTAATGGAATCGGTTCATCAATCAGCTTGGTGACTCGGAGAGAAGGTGTCACCATCTCCAGTTTTCCTAAAGTTTTAGGAACCAAATCATTAGCGCGTGAGGAATCCTGCCTCCAGTTACTCGAAGCGTCCTAGTAGCTAGGAGCGAACTTTTCGCTTACTCAATTAAGTAGGCGCCTAGAGCCACTCGGGTTAAACACATAAACCCGCGGCGGCTTCGCCAGGCCGTCCAACCATGCGGAGCTCCGCCCTGGACATCCTCCGGGGGAACTTGTGCGCCTTCACTGGCGGTGCAGGTTGTGCAGGTGGACTGCCTGCCTGTTGAAGAACAAACTCTGAAGCAAACTACTCGCTCATACTTGAGGATGGGCCTCCTTCTTCAGGTTTCCACATAAGAGTTTCAAGTCCATTGAGAAACCAAAAGATTGTCGCAACAAACGAGTCCGCTCCAGCCCCAGGCTGACGCGACGGGTGTGTCCCAGGGCGCCGTCTCAGCGACCGAGGCGATTGGGTGGAGCCAAACGGGGCAATGCGGATCAGGAGCATCGCGCGCTCCCTTTTCTTTACTTTAAATGGGGTTGGAACATTTTTCTCAGTAGCCCGTGGGATCTTCTAGACCCTGGTGTAGTGAAGGGTTTGAGAGCACTAAGAGGGGCCACCCTGTTCAGACACAAACGGAAATACACACAGAAGGAAAGTGATGAAGTCTTCCTCCGCCCAAATGTGTTTGTATGATTGGAGTGTGTGCGTGTGTGTCATGCTCTGTATCCAAAAGTTTTTGACACGGCAGGGGCGTGCAGCGTCTGTGATACGAAGCTATGATCACAGATGGGAAGGGATCAAGGACGCTTGATCTTGCGCCTGCAATTTTTGTGGCGTTGACAGGTTGTGACTCTCATCTTCTTGTAAAGCGCTAGTGAGCCTTTGTTCAAACATTTTCTGTTTTGCTGACTTCACGCCATACCGTTGTGCAAGTCAAGGTCTAATTGCTGTAAGGTCAAGGGCTAGGTCAAGGGCTAGCGCGCCCAGATTCTAATTGAAATTGTGCTCACCCCGCTAAGCTCTCTATTTCAGTGTGTCCAGCGGCATCTTCCCACTGCGGTATGCCGTATGATCCCTGCACGGCGCAGACTTCAGTCGTTTGGCAAAGGAGAATACTTCACATTCCCGCGTTTTGCACTGCGAGCCACCTCCGGATCCACAGTTTGAGTTTCGAAATTGCAGAAATTCTACTGCCGAGCTCACGGAGATTAATCTTCTGAATTCCATTGATTCGGACCCTGTCAATCGCGAATTGTTTCAATCACACGAGTTGTGGATTTTTCAACACGTGTTTCCAGATGTTGTCATGCACGGCTTTCACTCCTTCTTTTTGTTCTTGCTTTTCTCTCCCTTTCGTTCTGAGTAGAGGCTTGTTAGGTAGTAAATCCAGGTTGGGTTGCGCCGATACCGGCTTTATCATCACCAGCTTCGACTGGCTCTATCTCCCCCAACTGCACGAGAGTTTGCCATTTCGGCGCCCAGTCGACCTTTCTCTTCGTTTGTTTTTGTCTCTTCTCTCACTTTCCTTCTTTTCTAAAGGCTTGTTAGGTTGTAAACAGGCTTCTTTGCCGAGCGAACTGAGCACTGAGTCCACTTCACAGCGCCGAGTTCTTTCACTCTTTCCTATTGCTCTTGCTCTTCTCTCGCTTTCGTGTCTTCTAGAGGCTTGTTAGGTTGTAAATCAGGTCTTTTTGCCGAACGAACTGCGTACAGAGTCCGCTTCCCTGCGCAGATTTCTTTATGTTATTCCTTCCTCTTGCTCTCGCTTTTCTCTCGCCTTTGTTTCTTCTAGAGGCTTGTTAGGTTGTAAAAAGGTTTTACGGAGGCGAACAAAGACGTTGCTGTTTTTCCCCGTGAGCGCCGATAATCGGCCTATTGTGTGTGTCTCATACTCTGTACTTAAGAGTTGTTCACACAGCAAGGGAGTGCAATATCTGTGCTCTACTGCACGCGACGAAACTATGATCACAGACGGGAAGGTACCTGCAATTTTTGTGGCGTTGACAGGTTGTGACTCTCATCTTCTTGTAAAGCGCTCTGTTTTTTCTGACTTCTCGCCATACCGTTGTGCAAGTCAAGGTCTAATTGCTGTAAGGTCAAGGGCCGGTGCATCCAGATTCAGTAACTGAAATGATGCTCACCCCGGCGAGCTCTCTATCTCACTGTGTCATTCCCAATCATTCTGCGTTCCCTATTGTAATCAGTTCTAACGCAGGCAGCGTGAGTTCTGAGGGTAATTCCTCCAGTTTGGTGCAACTGGAAAGGAAGAGACCAACAAAGCACAGCCATCCGGCTTCCGGTGTTAGCAATGACTACTGCTAGCTCCTGCATTCAGAAATAGCTATTGCTAAGCCTACTTGGGTCTGGATGAAGACCTACTACTCAACTTGATGACTTGGGGATACTTGTGGGTTTGTTCATGCATTTCCCAGTTCTGACAAAGGTTGATTGGATCACTAGTTACAGTATTTGACGGGCATGCAAGATCCAGGTCGCTATCATTGCTTTGATATGCTGCTTGGATTTCTTTTCCCTTGAGGTGACTTTCTGCACTGCACTGAACAATTTCTCTGTGTGTTGTGTGCGCTAGGCACCATGTGGAGGTCGTGCCATCCCTTGGAACCCGCCTAACGTGGAGCCTCAGCCAGCGCCAGAGCTGCAAGAGCGGAGACGGGGTCTGTGGTTCTGGTTCGGTTGCTTTAATTTGATGAGCTCCTGCCACACCGTTGGCCGGGTGTGGCGCAGCATTCATGAGGGCAGAGTGGGCCAACACCGACAGCCTTCCCGGTGGAGTTTTGTACTGTGGCTGTGCCATTGTTACTCTGATTGGTCCAGTGGATCGGCAGGCCGGTTCCGAAGACCCTGATTAAAGAAAGACTGTGTCATTTGAGTCCAAAACTTGCGAAACTGCTGATGATAGATGATCCTGCTGCCGGCTCCGTAAATCTGAGCCAATCACATCCTGTTCGCTGTCCTTGTGTGATTCTTCATTTGCTGGTTGATTGGTTCCTCCTGGCGGCTTGTTGCTTTGCTGGCTTCGTGACCTTTGGGTCGGGGTCAGCGGATCGTCGTCGTTTTTATCGCTTTGTTCATGTTTGCTCTGGCCCTTGACCGAGGCACGGGTGCCCTCCCGTGCGGCGCTACGGAATCAGCTCCGCGTGGGCACCAGCTGAGGCGTTTGCTCGGGCCGTTTGGGACAACGAACAGCCAAAAAGTGTATCTTAGGTGGATATCAATCCATACTAGTATCAACCCTTTCCCACCTATTTCCACAGGCCACATTTTCTGGTGTTTTTTTAGAGTCTTTGACCCACTCGGGCGGGGCTCCTGACGCCGCAGCATGGCACTGGTACTTTGGGGTTGGAACCAGAAGCCGAGGAGATTGAGGATCGCGTGGTCCCGAGCTCTTGTGGTCGAAAAGACTCAGCAGCCTTGCCGGACCCCGTGGATTGCGAAGATGGACAAGGGTTATCCTCACTTGTGTACAAACCAAGAAACGAAGGGGGTCATCTTATTTTCATTTGCTTTGAGCATCCATGCTTTGGCAGGGTCACCCAAGAACCTGTAAGGTATGGGTATCAACATAGCAATTTCGTGGCTCCCAGCAGTTTCAGGGGACAAGACTTTGGAGGTGAGCCATGTGACGTCGTTGAAGCGGCCCCGAATGAACTGAGCTTAAACTGCATCTGAAATCCAAGACAGCAGTAATCACTGCAGTCAATCATTGCAGTTTGATCATGTTTGATCATTTTAGTGCATATCAGAATCAACTGAATCAACCATACAACCATAGGCCATAGGCCGATTCAGGATTCGTGGTTAACCACTCAATGATCAGCTTCGGGTGTGACGACCCAAACAGACAAAGACCATAAGACCATGGTGCCAACCGGTGGCGCTGGCGCCTTGGGTTGATGGAGACCTCGCAGCTGGTGGCCGTCCTCAAGCTGGACGTCCTCGCCTCGGTGTTGAAGGGCTTGAGGCCCCGAGCGCTGAGCGCCCTGCTGCGCAGCTGCCGGATGGCTTGGGAAAGCTTTCAGGAAACGGGAGGGAAGCTGACAGAGAAGACTGGAAGTGCATGGATTTGATGTTTTCAATTGCTTTGGCACAATAAGATCAATAAGGACCACTGCATGAGGTGTCTTTTGTTCCCTTTTTTTCAAAGAGGCGTTCTCCGTTTTGCCACAGTGTCTTCCCAGTGTTTGCCAGAACATGGGCCTTCGGCACTTCTTGCTGCCCATGTGCCAGCTGTTGCTGTCCTATGTCACTGTTGCTGTCCAGCTGCCGGTCCAGCTGCCGCTGAGCGAGCTTCCCGACCGCGCGCTGAAGGCGATCTACCGCTGCTGTGCACCGCCTGAGGGCGGCGACCTGGTGGAGGCCTGGGAGCAGCTGCAACGCCAGGTGCTGCACGCTGGAGGCGGATGGGTTGGACGGATGGACTGAATGGGCAAAGTTTGCCCGAATAAGACAACGGGCAAGAACACGCTGATCAGGGTCACGTATGTGCCATAGACTTGTACAGCAAGCTGCAGTTCCAAGCAGGTCCTTACTTTGGATCTAACTAGATATAATGGGCTTGTTAAAGTCAGGACATCGGATCTCCCGAGCGTTTGGTTCTTTCGTCTGTTTTCTATACTCTTTTGGGGTGTCTCAGTGCCTCCATCGTCTCCCTACCGAAACGTGCTCCCAGATAGATGTTCGAGTCTTTCTCAGGATCTTCGGCCTCTGTGCATTATCTCTTGGGCCTCAAGCTCCTTCTACACAGCCAACACGCTCAGCGCCAGTCTTTCTGGGCGCCGCTCTTCGGGTCCTCCGCCCGCTGCGCCCTGAGTCCCCCTGGCGCTGGAGCTGGTGCGGTGGTGCTGGCAACGCTGCGAGTGAGGGAGGTGATGGAGGCGCCGGTGGTGCCGGAGGCGCTGATCGATGGACCTTTTCTCAATTTTTTCTCACCGTGTTTATCTCAACCTTGCCGATCCAATGCGAGAGACGTGTGTCTAACATAAAGTCATCAAGAGGTGTCACGTGATGAATAAATCTAAGTGCTTTGAGATCGGATTCCGACTGCAAAGGACAATCTAGGGAAATATACGATGAGAATTCAGGCTCAAAACTAGGGCCCCCAGGTACCAGAGGCTTCGACTTGGTTTTTGCGTTTATTACCATTGTTTTCTGACCATGGCCAAATATATCTGCTACAATGCTTTCCATTTCTGCGGATGTTCGATTGCGCTCATGCCTCTGCTTGCTTGCTCAGGACAGCACGTTGAAACCCCTACGCGCAGTGACGGGGCGCTTGGTGCCTTGGAAGATCTTGGAAGATATGAAGCAGGTAAACAATCTTTAGTGGTTCACGGTTGACCGGTCACGGGGTTGACCCACTGGGAATACACTTTGCATACTCCGTAATGCTATGGGAACCAGCAAACAAACACCGCACTTTTAGCGTTCTTCTCCAAGTTGTAGCTGCTACTTGGCATGCAGGGCGTGAATTCTACATTGGAACTTTGCACAGGTGGGAGGTTTCTTGACAACTCAGCCGGCTGAGGTTCGTGCAAAGGATTGGAAAGTGATGTCTTGGATGGCACTCTTCGCAGAGGAACGCGCCTGGGGTGGTGGTGGTGTCTCGAAAACCTTCGGTATGGTGCTCAAGGTCTCTGCAGTGCCCCTCGACAGCATTCGATGGGATGGCTCAGGGTCTTCACCAACATGAACAACGTGTCTGCAAGGGCCTGGACACATCCAATCCAAACTGTTTGAGAGGCGTCTGAGGAGACGATCTGAACCGCTACAGATGCTAGAGTCGCTAGAGGTTGCCGGTGTGGAGTTCCTTAAAGGTCCATCTAAAAAGCTGTCAATTTGGTCTACTGTATATACTTCTATGTAGGCCTCACAAGCTGGCATAGGCTAGAGCTCTTGTTGTTCTTGCTGCTTCCCTTCTTCGAGGTCTCCAGTTTTCAGTGGACTCAGTTCTGCAGCGTGTGAACCCAAAGGTACAATGTATAGACCTTGTTAGTAATGTATTCTCTCATTCACCGCTCTGCAAGTCCGGGTACTCCATCCCACGGTTGAGGTCTGAGCCTGACATCGCTGTCTTTGAAAGCCTACTGAAATGGGACTATCCTTCCAATGCGAGGAGGACATCAGGAAGACCAGGTTGGCGTGGTTACACAAAGTGCACTACAAGGCAGATCCGGAGCAAACCCCCGGACACGGAAAGGTGGCAATATGTGCACCTGGCAGGCTTTCACTGGATTCGATTCATGTGCTTCTTTTGTTCCTTGGGATTCGCAGTTGCGACAAAGTGAGAGCACAAGAATCCTGGACAAGCCTGAATGCCTAGCATCGTTTTTCCCCTTCAGAAGAACTCTTGGCGGCCCACTGGCAGAATCCCCCCAAACCACACAATGCCAGGGGTGGGCTTTGGGTCTACCCAGACCTGAGAATTGATGATGTGGTACCACCTTCTTCCACGGATGATTTGGCCGCTGTAGTTTCCAGCAAGTCCGTATTTCTGCGAGAGTCTGATTTCCGATGATGTAGTTCCATGTGAACCTTTGCGGGAGTACTCCCTGTTGCGCTGCCAGAAGAGAGCCACCACTAAACTCGATTGCTTGGAGTGAGCGATAGTAGCGGGAGCTTTCTTCAGCAAAATCTCATTTCGTTTTGACATGGTGATGAACTGGCCTTGTACATTCTGAAACTTATACACACATATATTGTTCAGCATCGGCTCAGATAGAACACCAGGCACTGGACAACGAGCTCGTTAGACCAAGATTTTCCGGGCAAATAAGGATTCCAATGTGGGGGACACGCAATTGGGGGAGGTCTGAGAATGATTCGGAAAGCTTTGGGGGCTGTGACAACGTGGTTCGGAGACCTACCTGCCAGGCAACTCGTAATTTTCTGGGATTGTTGACAGCTTGTGTTTATCGCATCAGCCAAGAGCTTTGGGGCATGTCTCATGCTTGTCCCTCCATGTTCGCCAGGGACACTTGGATCTATGAATCCTGCGCTCGGGAGAGCGGCGACCAGTTCCAGACGTCCCTTAAGCAGCTGGTGCGCCTCACTTTGCAAGTGGAAGATGAAGATGCTGCCTCCGTGGTGGAAGAGGGCATGAGGCAGAAAGCCCCGACCCGATGAGTTGGGTGTTCTCACCCCGGGCGAGGTGCCAGAAGACGGAGTTGAGTTGGACTCTTGCTAGTACACTCTTCAGTACCCCGGGGGGGTGGTGTCAAGTCCAGGGCGTGGATGTAATCTGATCAAGACCTACTTCTCACCTAACAGCCATGGTCTCCAACCTAATTCTAAAGGCCTCCAACCTAGAAGCGATGGCCTCCAACCTACTTCAGAATCTGTGAGATCCAAATTCAACCCGTCAGAGTCCGTTTCGATGTCCCACAGCTCCCGTGCCTCGTGCGACGGTCCCGTGGGTCCTCCTGCGGCGGAGGCGGCTCTTCTTCTCGGCGATGCCCTTGGACCTCCAATCCTACTTGGTCAAAGGCCGCGGCACAGATGCACGGGTGCCCATGGATGCAGTGCCCCTGGTGGAGCAAGCTTTGGAGTGGTCCAAGGGGAAGGCAGCGGAAGACCTCATGGGTACTGACAGAACGCTTGATGAATACTAAAGCAATGCAGAATGCAGTGCAATGCATAAAATGCAAAGATATGCAGAGTAAACAAATAGTACTTTGGCGGCATGTTTTAAGTGGGTTCCAGGGTAAGCGTAGATTCGTAGATGATCGTAAGTTGTAAGTTTTGGATGCCAACCCTGTGAGGGCAAGGGAAGATTTGGCTTTGGCCGCTCCGAAGGATTTGGTTTCCTGGAAGGGTTTGGCCGTGAAAGCCTTGACCTCTTTGGAGGAGCTTGCAGCTTGGGAGGGATTGACTGCGCTGGAGACAATGGAGGCTTTGGCAACTTTGGCGAAGGGTTTTTGCACACTGGAGACTCTTCCAGCTTCGGACAACCCCCTGGCTTTGGAGGAGCCGGAGACCCTGGAGGCTTTTGCAGCTTTGGAAGACCCTTTGGAGGAGCTGGAGACCCTGGAGGCCGTGGCAGCTTGGGAGGACACAGGTTTGGAAGAAACTCTGGCGGTTTCGGAGCATTTGGCAGCTTTGGCCACCAAGGAACTTCCAGTTGATCCTTTCACTAGCCTCGAAGTCCACCTCGACTTAGTTGCGGCCTAGACAAGAGCAGCCTTGGAGCAGCTGCACCTGGCCCTGAAGAGATCTTCCAACCGTCTTCCATATCGACATTGACTGGCTTGAATCTGCAGCATGATTGCCATTGGAACTGGTTCACTTGCTTCAGCAAATCCTACAATCTGCTTTCCATCATGGAGGATCCCAACCTTGCACTTAGGTCATCTGAGGCCCTGTGTGCGAGATAAAGTCGGGAGAAAGTGACACACGAACTCGCTGGGATCGAAGTCGGTGTGCTCAAATCACACGGAGTTCGAACACTCTTGTGCCGCAGACGGGGTGTCATTCACCAAGAGATCCACAATCCACTTCAGTGGTGCTGGTGAAGATTCCAAATTGAAAACATCGCCCAGACCGCTGCTTGATGGGACTTCCCTACTGTACCCAGTCATGTGTTTTGACATTTCATGTTCCTGTGGCCTTTGATGTCACTTTGGGGGAGCCAGACCATGTATCCTCCATTTTGCTATCGTCTCAGCCACACTCCGACCAGGCCATGTATCTTTTGTTCAAGCGGCTGTGAAGCTTGCGAATTATGGGTCCCGCAGTGCCATGAAACCCATGTTTCCTGCTGGGTATATAGTTGGGAAGGGTCAGCCGGAAGCAGACGACTCCTGTGCTTGGTCAATCTCCGGATTCTCCGGATTGCTTTATCTCAGTGCAGTTGAAGATCCTTGGTTAGTCACGCACTGTCACGCATGTGGCATGTAAATTCTCTACCTTGAGCACCATCTGCGCATCACCAGCAGCTTCGCTGACTGAATCATTCCTCTCGGGTAAGACTCGGCCATTTTTCCTCAGTGCCATGGCCCTGGAACTGCGCGATGCTTCAGAAGGCAAGATGGTGTACCTTGGAAGCAGCAAAAGGGACAGTGTCTTTTTGCTCCAAACGTGCCTGCGGCCTGCCCCTCGAGCAGGCTACCCGCATAAAAGGTCGAGGGTGTCCGCTTCACTGTTGCCCTTTTACGCTTGAGTCACTCGCCGAATGTGGAATACAACGATAGAAGAACAAACTCAACGTGACTACGAGGATCAGCACTATTGGTCATGGCCAGCACGATTTCTCAAGCGAGGGAAGTACTTGCATGATCTTGCCCTAGACTTCCAAGACCATTAAAGAAATGGTTGAACTGGTTCTTGTAGTCTAAAATCGTTAGTTGGTTCGGTAAAGCCTATATTAATTTAATAGTGAAAAGCTTAGCTGGCAGTAGAGCTCGATCAGTTTGCAGGTGAGCACCTCTGGGCATGTAGATCAACATGCCATTGGTCGAGCTTTATATCTTGAGACCACCGTTGAGATGGCAGAACACTTTAGACGAACCGAACCACTTGAACGGGATTTTCGTTTATTGGCATTGGTGTTTCTATGTGGTCTTTTTTGTGCGTCGAATCGAGGTCGGAGCGTTTTCAAGAGCTGAAGAGTCTCCTGGTGCAGCTGGGAGAGCTCGCGTGGCGCCAAGGCCATTGGCTTGTGGACTTTGTGATGTCAAGAACTTAAGCTGGACTCTGGGCCGACGTCCTCCTAAGTACAGGCAAGACAGATGAACATCGGAAGCAGATGTGAAACTTCTGATGTCTCAAAGTGCGGGCGGTCACAAGTCAGCAAGCCACTTGAAAGCAAAGTGATGCATTTTCACCCCTGTCCTTCGACTGGAGGTACTACCGCCATTGAAGAGGCTTGCAAAGTGCTGGACATTGCTTACAAGGAGCGACGGGTCGCCTTCTTTTTTCTGATGTTTCCGTGCCTCGCTTCGCCCGTGATGTGGAAGATGTTTGTTTTCGCCTTGTCTTTTCAGCACAGCAACGTCCGATTCGAAGCAGTAACTGGAAGCTTTCCCATGCGTGCTTGCTTGCTTGCTTGAAAATGCTTGGAACGCTGGAATAAGATGTTCTGAGGGTTTGACCACACGGCTACAGGATCGAGTTGATGTGTTGGATGCGCTGGTATGACTGGTCCAGACAGGAAGTAGAGACCTAGACAGCTCAGTGATTTTTGCAGGGACGGGAGCGTCGATGGGGAGATGACGGAAAGGTCGACCGGTCCAGGACTCCGTAGCGGAGGTTCATGGCCACCATCCCATAAGCATTTTCAGTGGCATACAGGAAAAGTATGGAAAAGTCTTTTGTAGGACACAGTGAGAGACCTCATGATCGATCAGTGAGAGACCTGGCTTTGGCTGTTGCATACGTCAGGAGTCGGAAATCCTGGAGATTTGCGAAGAGATTTCTGGCGGGACATTCGAGACGCAGGTTGGGCAGTCTTCGGCAGCCAGTTAAGTTAGTACAGAGATGTTCAATGGCATTTTGGGGGCTCTACTAGATACCATGCTGCGTTCAACACTGGACAGCCTAATGACAAGGATCCACGCATTTCTCATCAATTTGTCTGAATTCTTGGAAAGAACGATTCTTTAGAAGAGGCAACACCTGCGCTATTTTGTCTGGCAGTGAACATCACTTGCTTCCCAGGTATATGAAAGGCACATGGACCTGTGTTTTGACATGTTTTGACAATTTCGGACTCCAAGTGCTGCTTGGACTTCTCAAAGGTTTCTACCTAGTTGAGAAGGCATTGGTTGCAAACACCAGGCCCTTGTTGGGAGAATCAGACATCACTCCCAGTCGTTTGAAGCATTCAACACGCAATGGGTGCACAAAACTGCTACATCCTGGTACCATCCACAAGTTGGACAAGTCTCTTCGGGGTTTGCGCGCCGTCGCCCGATCCTCCAGGGGGAGCCCTTGGATGTCGCTGCTACTTGAAGAGCAATCGTCAGTCCACTGGGATCCCGGGCGGGGGGGATGAAGAAACCGTGTTATTTGACCCTCGAAAGGGAGCTGTGAAAGACTGATGGGCTCACCAACAGTCTCTTGTCGAACGTATTTTAGCGGGCTTCAGGGCTGCTATATGCTGTATATTTTCATGGACTGAATCTTCCACCTTGCGATAATATCATTGATGATCCTATATTTGTTTGATAATTCATGCTATTTCTGATTTTCGTTCAATGGCAATTGAAATGGATGGCCTCTCCCAACCAAGAAGGACGATTTGGCCTAGACATGTGGCCTTAGACATCCAACCGACCTTGCCTGGTTCAGCCTATCAAAACCCTTCTCTGGCCTTTGGTCTGCTGAGGTCTGCGATTTTCTTGCTTACCTGCTCCGCTCCACCCCGGCCGAGCAGGACTGATGTGACACCTCATGGGTTGACGAGGCGGTTCGTAAGGCATTACGTAAACCAAGAGACATCAAGGAGGTTGAGAATGTTCACACCAATCCCTTGCCCCACGAAAGCTGGAATGCTATTGAAGATCCAGGGCCAGGCGAAGGCACATCAATCGTTTTGCTTAGTTCTGCAGGATTTACTTGTGTTTGAATGCATTACACAAAGTAATCCAAAAGTTGACACAAGGAAGACCAGTTGCTAAGCAGCCTTCCCGCGAGAGGGCATTAGCAACCTGACCGAGCCCTGTCCGCGGCCCTGTGAATCGAGTCCAGCGCCGCGAGGAGTTCGAGTCGTTGAACCCCAGCGAGAACGCCACGGCCATCCATCGACTCGAAGAACGGGCTCTTCCCCTCCACTACTTCCGGGCTCTCTTCCGCTTCGCGGAAGGCGCGACGCTGGAGAAGCGCCGCTGTTTGGGCTGGGGTGTGGGGAGTTGATACTGGTGAGAAGAAAACTAGATGCCGTCCGAGTTCTTCGGGGGGCCCAAAGGTTCACCGACCGGGGCTACATACCTCTCATCCTGAGGAAGATTTGAGATGACTTGAACTACGTACAGGATCTGGAGAACCCAAGCTTCGATCTCATCCTCGTCAAACGAGGACGGGGGGTGTGAACTGAGTAACTGATGGCCAGGATCGTGAACAGGCTAGATGACTTTCAGTTTTGCGCACGACAGTTGGTGTTAATCCTTTTTCATTGGGAGTTCTTCTACCCACGCGCAGCTGGGCAAATCTCCACTTCTGCTCGTCCCCACATTTTGGGACTTCATTCCTTTTCTACTTCTCTACTTGGACGTACTTAGAAGCTCGGGATCGCCCTGAATACTCTGGATGACTTCTGACATCTCTCAGGTGTCAGCTACAACGGGGAGCTTTGGTATGACCTCGAGCAGCACCTGCCGAGTATCAAGCTGCCCAAGCTGAACATCTACCAGGCAGCTGATGCTGTCCCGATGGGTTGCGGGGGGGGTCGGTGGAACCGAACGAGTCACAGGAGCCGAAGCAGCCAGTGATGACATGGTCTAGTCATCAAGATTTGACGATGACTATGACTCCGTGTTCTTTTTCTTTTGGCTCGTGCAAGGTCTTTCTTCCCTTCATTCCAATGGGTCCAATTTGTGAGGTGCATCATTGGATCATCGAGCCCCTCACCTTTCGCGAAGACTTCAGCTATGCGGAAGTGGTCATCAACGAGACAAAGCCTCCAAAGCGGATCTGGTTCATCTCCCACTGGTGGGGCGAGGCGCCCACTGGAGCTCAGTCGTTTTCTCCGGCTGAGCTTGCCGGTGGGATCGGGAGTTCTACAGTGAATAGGATCTGGATGGGTTGACATGAGGCTGAAAGGCTGAGAGGGGCGGTGCCCTCTCTTTGCTCCCCTTCATTTGGCCACACCGCAGCCCTCAAAGCCTTGGAGGATTTTGGGCAAGATGGCTAGGCTAGACAATGTGCACATTGGGATAAAACTGTTGATTTACCTACTATACAGAAAGCTGTTGATTGGCTTGCTGAATTTGCTCTTATGTTTGATGCCGCCTTGACGGTACATATCGCCGCGCGAGTGGATAGCGCACCAGATCACAGAGCAGGCGTTGATGCGTTTGTCCAGCCGCATGTTCAGCACGCTTCACGTGAAGTTACCGCCCACACCGGAGAGAGTTCCAATAGATACGGTAGGTAGATAGATGGATTGGAGGTAGGCAACTCGTCTTGTTCAAGTAAGTGCAAGATGTGCAAGTAGTATTTGACCACATCACAGGCAAATTTTTCGACACCCAAAGAATCCCAAGGTACACTTTTCCTGCTCCCAACTCAAGAGTCGCCGTTTGAACACCACCGTTTGATAGTTTCTACATGATTCAGCCAACACAAAGCAACAGCAGAGGGATGGAGGAAGATGGACCGCCCATAGCTTTGCCACTGCGAGGCAATGTGCAACTTCGTCCAATGCCTTGCGAAACACATCGATATCCGAAGGATGTCCGTGTCAAGGCAGGGCTTTTGGGTCTGAGCGCGCAGAGTTACCAGTGACCATGGGGTCATTATCATTTCCAAACCCCAAAAGGTTGTGCAAACAAATCATACAGGACCGTGGACAGTGCAATAGGAGTCCGTTTTTGAAGCGGGCAGGAGGCTAGGCCAGGCTAAACAATCTCCTTTCTTTCCTATTGTCTCCTCTAGGACTGCCTACTGGGCGGCTTGGGCCGCCATTGGCCCCTCAGATGCTGCGCCCACGGGCCGCGCGACGGCCGCGGCCGACGCACTGCTGACAGCGCGGGTGCTGGCACCGCGGCAAGTGCTGTTGATGCTTGGGCCCGAGGCAGGGAGATGGCAAGTGGAGAGATCCAGAGATCCAGAAATGGGTGATCGTCCTACTAGTAGTCACTAGTAGCTTCTTGTTCCTAGCAGTACAGCCAGGAGCCACTAGTAGCATCCTTGCTCCTAGTAGCGATTCCCTTTGCTCCTTGTGGCGTCCTGAGTCCTTGGTGTTATGTACATGATGTCACACGGTTTGATGGAACATGTTCCTTGTTTCTAGAAGAAACTATGGTTCCAAAGGGAGCGAAACGGCCAGTGTCATCCATTGTCCATATCCGCCTGTAAGAGCCAATTTGCATTCTGATCGAACCTGATGTATTCAATGTATTTTGACTTTTGATGGTCATATTGCTGGAGCCACCTGAGAGCCTGAGATGACAAGCGGAGTTCTCCCGTTGTTCCGCCGCGGCGTGACGCAAAAAGACCCACAGGGTGAGGCCTTTCGACGGAGCTGGTGCGTCTTGGAGATGGCGGTGGCCACCGGCTTGGGGGAGGCGCCAAGATTTTTCACGGGCGGGAAGCAAAGCGGAGCCAGCAAAGTGAAGCTGGTGAAGTGAAGCTGGTGAAGTTGGGGGTCAATGAACCAATCGAAGATCAGAACCAATTGTTTTGGGTTGAAGCAAATCTTTCAGGAATCCATCATAGTGCACTCAACTTAGAGTGATGGAGTCAACTGCGGTGCTCAGCACAGCAGTTCTTTGGACTCTGGAAATTGGTTCCCACTAAGATGCAAAGGGGTTGGGCTGGCTTCCAAATTTCGAAGAGCTGCCTCATCTCCTTGTCTCAGCTCTCAAATTTTATCCAGCAGAACGGACCCAGAAAGTCATTTGACCACCAGTTGCCGGAGCCTTTTTGCACCATAACGATACATTACCTTATCTTATTTAGAGAGTACTGTCACCATCTCAGGCCTTTTGTGGTTTATTGATGGTTGGGCACTTCGAGCAGGATCCTCGGATTTTTGGGGCTTCCTTGCTGACCGGAAACTTGAGGTTCCGTTCTGCTGGATCATGCTGAGTTTCTGGTTTCTTTGGGACCAGTACTGGGACCCCAGTACGGGGCTCCATCTGGCAGTCTCAGCTCCAGTCTGCTGTCGGCGAGGCTCGGAAGGATCACCAGAAGCCGCGCAGCGGCACCTTAGACTTGGTCACGATGAGCCTTGGATGCCTTCGGTGCGGCGAAGCGGCGAAGTGAGAGGAGGTGAACCCTAAGAGCGATGGCCTCTAACCGATTGCAGTGACACAGTATGAAGTGAATCATGGTGAATGAGTTTGTCATGGACACACTCTGTGCGGCACAGCACAGTGGTCCTTTCACAGATCAGTAATCTGAGACTCCCGCATGAACCTGCATGAACTGCTTCCCTGGAATGGTCCTCGACTTGCTGTATTTGTCTTGAGTAGCAAGAATGCCGGTGCCGGCACAAACATTTGCCACCAGCTGGTGGACTCCTATAGCCGGTCAGTTTTGCGTATCTGGACATTCAAATGGAAATTCCCAAGTTGGAATGATATTCGTTGCATGTCGCCATAGCTGACCACTGCCCCTGACTCACAATGCATCCCAAAGCACACACCACAGGCGCTCCCACAACTCGCCGGCTGGGCTCAACTCGAGACCTCGCCGGTTGAGCTGAGGCGCCCGGATGTCCGGCTTCCGGTGGTGTTGACAGACGGGCTGACGGAGGTGGAGGAGGACAGCTTTCTCCGTCAGAACCTAGCAGCAACTGTGCCCGGAGAGACTGGTGGGAGAAACCCTTCTTGCTAGCCAAATTCGCTGTACCTGGGTGAGTGCTGTGAAGAACTGTGGTTGTCTAGCTCGTGCAATTATGTGCATGCGCCATGTTCATTTGCATCCTGTGAAGTGTGTGGGGCTTTGTGGCAGGAATGGGAAGCGAAGCACCCTGGTATGGGGCACATTGGCAAGACCGACCGAGAGAAGAGCTTCCCTTTGGAGGTGACACGGGGGAGCCAAGTGATTTGTTGAACCTTTCTTTTCAGGGCACCGCAATGCCAGGAAGTGCATGCTCGTTTTTGCGCAGGTTGTTCTTGACTTCATCTCCACGTGGTTTTCCTGACGCAAGACTCTACACTGTTCTAATAGTTCTAACTTTGGATTTGGCCAGTTGGCACAAGGCGTTCGATGTTCTTCCGCCCCAACCGGTTTAAAAAATGCCAATGCGTCGCGAGGCATTGCATACTGGCCTCGGCGTGGATTTCGCATCATGCAAGACCTCCGTGCCGGCTGAAAGGACAGAGCCCATAGGATCTGCTGCACTAGGGTTGCATTTTGGGCGTGTTAGCTGCAAGCTTCAGGACATGGATCTACCACTTCCTGGAGAGGTTGGTCCTTGTTGACGAGTCTCTTGGCAGCGTAAGTCAGGCCTATAAATTAAACTTACCGGAGACCGGTGCTTTGGACTTGTTACAATATGTTACAAAGATCTTGGCAAATAGAATGTCCAAAAGCAAGGACAACTAGCTTCACGACCGACCTGCCTCAAAGGCACTGAGAGCTGGCCCGTGATTTTGGAAGTGCTCGAATGAAGTGTCGAATTGGGCTCCCTGGTCAAGGGTTGCGAACTACTGCACCGCTCGGAATCCAGCACATCCACCTGCACATTGACATACTGGCATACACTCCAAACTCAAACCGGGCATATTAGGTCTTGGATGACAATGGAATGGCATAGTAGCAGGGATAATCGGATGGATACCTGCCAGTTCACCAACCGACCAAAACCGTGCTCATAGTGCACTTGATCCCAACTTACCCCGCTCTGCAGTTCGACAGGCTCAATAGGACCGGGAAGGACAGCAACTCTGAAGAACATAGAACAGTCGAACAACATTGAACAGCTGATCGTGAGGAGTTTTGATGGATCCCCACATGCTTTCCCTGAGCATCCACTCGCCCTTGCAAGAACGCTACTAGGAGCAAAGGGCATCGCTTCTAGGAGCAAGAACGCTATTAGTAGCTCCTGGCCTTACTACGGTGACCAAATACCAGGCCGGCGAGCGCAGAGGGCATCAGCCGCCACCTCCGGAGCTTTTTCGCCCGCACTGCGGTGGTGCAGGTGCTCAACAGGCCCTTTTCGAAGCGATCGAAGCGGGGATTTCTCAAAGGGAAGACCCTGCAAGACCCGAAGGCCGTTGATGGAAGCTACTAGTAACATTTGCATTAGTAGTAGTAGCAAGAATCTACTAGTAGCGATGCACTTGTTACTTGTTCGGTTGATTTGGACCTTCAACCAACCTACCGAAAAAGGGGGGGAACCGGAGAAGCATCCACTGTAATTACTTCCGAGCTTTGTGGCTGAGGCAGCTCCCAGTGGCACCCTACTTGGCGGTGATTGCTCAGAACGTTGTGCAGAAGGTGCTACCAGTCATACCGGGATGTGAGGTGGGTGGAGAGATACAGTAATCAGTTTGGTGCTTCCAGTGGTTCATGAGTTTGATTTATATACTGTATATATTATTTGACATATGTAGACTGTAGATTGCAACACGCTTTGACAACCAGACCAACCAGCCAATCAATTCAATAATCATTGGACGCCTGATGAGCATGCTCTGAACGCAACGGGACGGTCGTCTCGCTGTCTGAGGAGTTGACACTTCCCTGCCTCGCTCATGTCTTGGAGGATCCAGAGACCTTTTTGCATCTTGGAGTCATATGCAAATGAGCCGCAGTTGGGCCAGTACTCAGTGGCGGTCAGTCAGCAGTTGCGGTTGAATGAATCCCCAGTTTTGAGAGGGACTAATCCATATTAATCCTACATTATATATAGCATATACTATACAGGAATAGAAGTTTACAGAGTGAAGTCATTCCAATGCTTTGAATTCCATGCAGTCTGGGACTTGGACGCTTTGACCAAACCCTGCGATTCCCATACAAACGTAGGAGGGGCGTGCCCTCTTCTTTAGAGAGAGAAATAGAAGCACATCGGTTGGCTTGGTGAAGAATGAGGTCGTTATTGTCCCAGTCCTTGGCCAGCTTGACGGAGCTGGAAAGCCTGAAGTTGGACTTGGGATGGCGGAGCATCTATGCCAATGGCCACTTGGTCCTCCACACGATCATTCATGGTTAGAGAGATCCTGCATGATCCTTCATGGCGCTCAATTTCTGGATCCCATGGGGTTTGGAAGATATACGGATATACGGGACGGGATTTGTTGAGCCGGAAGACTAGTCTTGGGACCTTGGGATATGATTATATATTACTATATATTACATTATATTTAGTTTTAACATGTTTGACGCGTGCTTGTGCGAACAAGCAGGCACACCTAGCCACGGTTGGGTATGTGAAGTATATTGAAGTATTCTCCGGCATTACCAGCGGACGGTGATGGTGTATGGCTCGTGTTGAGACTGGAGTTTGCACACTTGCCATCTTTGGATCTAATCTATCCAAGGTTTCGAGATCTTCCTATCTTTGAAAGATATCTTAAGCTGTTGTTTCAGTCTTCTGCCGGGCACAGGTTGGATAGTCCATGTTAACGCGATGTAGAGAGATTGAATGAACTCCATCCCATCCCATTCTCTCAACGTGTTGAATTGATTTTGGCTGGTGTGCATTGCCCCAAAGGCTAGTAGATATGAACATGACAGAATTCGTCTCCACCCCTGTCTACTACCAGTTGCTGATGCAGATTCTGTGCATCGTTCCTTTTGTGGGTGACTGCGTTGTATCCATGTTTGGGCCCATAGATTTCGTCCCAAGATCTTCAAGTCTTCAGTCGACAAATTTGCTTGGAGCACATGTTGCGTGTTAACCAATCCCGGCGAGGGCACGCAGAACTCATAAAGAGGCTTAAGCACGTATGCAGCGTATGCAGTGATGCAACGTCCTTAGGTCCTTTCACAAACGACAGCTTGGTGTGGCTAGAAACGACAGCAGGACACCTGGAAGAACCTTAGAGCTTGTATATGTACGGATATATGGACATGGAGTCGTTCGCCTCTATCGGTATTTCAAGGCGTTTTGCACTGAACCGCTGCCCAAACAGAGCTCAGCCTACAGTGAAACCCAACACGACACGACCCGAACGCCCTCCGCCCTCCACCGAGCTCTCTCCAGGCCACGTGTCGCACCTGGCCTCTGCAGAGTGTTTGGCCGAAGGGCTCCGAAACTTGGGCCATTTGAAGGCGGGGAAGCCGAAGGGCTCCACCTGGAGGGAAATCGGAATGGAGGTAAATCGGAACACACCTCAACGATTGGGTGTGAGCACTGTAGGTGTTGATGGAAGAGTGAACGGTGCAAAACCAAATAGCACACGTTTCTTACTTGTGTATTTGTGGGGGTTTGTGCCAAGTTTGCGCATCCCCACCTGGGTTCTATGGGTCCAACGTGGAACTTCCATCAGCCGTTTTGAGCCATTGCTTTCGATCGCCTTGTGCCAGTTTTATGGAAAGAGAACTCCACAATTTTCTCCGACAGACTTATGTGACAAACAACGTGTGCTGAACTTTCAAGGTGTAGAATTTAGATGAATTGAAAGTTACTTCAAAGGTTGCTTCTTGTGTCTAAAGTTCTTTGCAATCTGGGAAGTATGTTGGGCCATCGGCTGACGCATCATGCATCCGCCTTAGGCAGACTTGGAATTATACGAGTGAGCTTCCTGCATGAAGTGAGCTGGGGGTTTTGGGGATGCTTTGGGGAATGCTTCGCCGAAAAGCCAAGCTTTTCCAGGAACTCGCACTTCGGCTCAATGGTTGCGTCAACTTGCTGCACCTGGGCTGGTCGCCAGCGCCGCCCACGCTGACGCTGCAACGCTTGGAGTTGCGACTGGATGGATGCGAGCGGCTACAGGAGCTCTTGCACTTTCAGTGCAATCATGGGGAATCTACCCTCTAATGAGATAATTATACTACCCCTACATACCCCTACCCCTAATCTAGGCATACCTTTGGGGTATCTACAGTATCTAATCTAGGCATATCCACCCCTCTACCTAATTATGCCTACCCATGCCTACGAGGGTACCCTGCGCCCTGTTGCTCGTCATGATGGTTCATAAAGGTTTGGATAGGAATCATGAAGGCTACTTTGATCCCTCCACCCATTGGCCAAGAGACAAGCTTTAATATGCTTTCATGATTTAATCTTCCCCATTCTTTGCAGCGGGACATCTCTCCCAGGCTCCAATTATACTGCCTTCTTCAGTGCAACTGCAGACGAAACACGTCAACAATCGGTGACCACACAGACCCGCTGTTTCATGGTATCGGTTGACCATGGTTGACCTCACTGCCCCAAGACACATCCCTCTACCGTCACCAGCGCGTGACTGACTCAGGTTCGGTTCCGAGTTTGAGATCTGGACGTGAATCCTCCAAAACGAAGAAGCGCCAAATAGTTTGTGAGTTTTCCGGGGCGAGGCCAATTCAGTATGAGCGACCTGCTGGTGGAACCATAGTTGACATGCGTGCGTGGAACAACAGTCAACCATGCAACTTCAGTAAAATCCCAGTATCTACCACAGTGCAATTGACACATGAATCAAAGACACACGTTGGATGGAGCACAAGTCTCCATATGGGTTCCAATCAGTCATTAGTCTATGATAGGCCATCTGAACAATCAATCTGGCACATTTGGACTCCAGCTAGTAAATGGTAGTCCCATGTAGTCCCGTAAGCCTCAAGGCCTTGGCGGAAAGCACACATTGAGAAGTACTCCCACTGCAAAGACGCATATATAGTTCTTTTCCGTGTGGGCATGGGAGTTCCACTCCATCCTGCGGTTTGGCGAATGGACCTCCGGGTCGCCACCCCATGAGAGACCTGCGTTGAGGACCTCTCAGAGCTGCTGCGTTGCATCGGTGCCTTGGTGGACTGCAATTTGGGCACGGTGGAGAGACATGTGTGGACAGTGGACGGCAGCCCTTAGAGTATCAAGGACGCTACCAGTAGCTCCTGGCCTTACTACTAGTAACAAGAAGCTTCTAGTAACAAAGGGCATCGCTACTAGTAGCAAGGACGCTACTAGTAGAGAAAATACGAGACATGTGTTGTTGGTGAGATATGGTGGTGCTGGTGGTGACGATGATGAGTTTCCACTTAGCACCTTTGGACCTAGCTGTGGAACTGTAGGTATGTATGTGTATGAGTTGTTTACATAGTTCTTTCAACTTCATGGAGCAGAGGGCGAGAGATCCAGACCATACACTGATAATCTGATAGGCCGACCCTGTAGCTGATGATTTGGTATCACGTGTCATTCCCCCTAAGATCACACTTTTGCTATTGCTTCTGAAGCTAGTGCGTTTGGACGCTTGTATTCTGATTGCAGGTGACTTGCAACAGCTGACATCTTTGCAGCTCTCCTTGGCAGGTGGGGCTGCTGTTTTGTTGAGGAATTTGACATGTCATCACTGCTCAAGAGATGTCATGAGGCTGAATTTGGAGTTGTCGAGGTGTACTAACAGAAGGTTTACTTTGTTCATGACCTCGTTTTTCCAATCTATTTGCCCCAGTGGGGGCTATGGCTAAATTGCCCGGATATAGTCTAAAGCAACTCACCAGGGAAGAAGGCCAGGGGCAGCCAATGCTGTCAGGCTGCAAAGGGCTGATGGTGGATTCGGACCTGGTCTTGCTGGGGAAGAGCCTTCGCCAGCTGCCAAAGCTCAGGCGAAGTTCACCACCCAGGGACCAGTCGGCAGAACCCACTCACAAGTCGTTTCCTTGTAATTGGGATAAAGAAGCCAATGATCCCTGCGTATTTTTAGCACTTCGTTTGTAATCTGGGCAGAATGCGTCAAACTGGCTGCAATCGAAGTGTCTCGTGACGTTTTGTGATGCAATCTTTGCAATTTGAGATATCGCAAGAGTCACAGACCTAACCTTTTCAAGCTCAGTTCGATGCGGACCCGTCGACCCGTCGACCCGTTCGAATCGTTCTCCAGGCAGTTGTTCTTGGACTTGTCGGGTGCCAAGCGGATCTTCTATGTGATCGAGCTGGGTAAAAGCATTCGATGCTTAAGGGATTTGCAGGAGTTCCACTTGGACCTTTCCTTTTGCGTGAACCTCTCAGACATCTCCCATTTGGGCAACAGCATCCGGATCTTATTGACACTTGCAATAAGAAGGAAGAAATAATGATAGAATTGTAAATCAATCTATAGGAAGCTGTTTCTTGGAACATAGGAAGCTGTAACAAGCTCTCACAAGGGATTTTTGGAAGATCACATCACTCATCAGGTTGCCGGACTGGATCAGGAAACAACCAAGGTCACCAGACAAGTCCTTGCAATGAGTTGACTGAAGTGTGAGCCGTATGTGAAAGCATCGTGAAACATCAACGAGCGTGTCTGCGGTGTGTGCGACATTCTGTACATTTCTTTACTGACTGTTTTAGTGAATCTAGTGCCTGAGCGACCTAGTGCATGGGTCGAAATGAGTTGAAACAGGTTGAAACCACCTCGCTCTGGTGCGACATTCCAAGTGCGCCCCAAGGACTGAGACGACGTTCGGAACGGGACCCTTCATGCTGAAGTTGGAAAAGTCCGGCGTTCGCATCAATCGCCACTTGGTTGATGAGCAACCAGAAGATACGTATAGAAAATGTGTCCACTTTTTTCCCCACCTCTTAGGTGAGGGTCTCTAGATGTTATTTCAGTTGTTTGCCAGCTGCAACCTGGCCACCTCCGGCACCCACCACCTTCCTCTACTGGGACTCCCTAAGAGGTGGAGCTCCCAACAAACATGGTGGTCCGTTGCCAACATCGCAGGCCAGATGGGAATCTGATGGGATCTGGAGACCCAAATGTCTCTCTCCCAAAGCTTTGGGTTCTACCAGAGTCGCTCTCTCCCAACGCGACCAGTGTCGCTTCTTTGAGCTTCAAGGTGAGAAGGTTGTGGGCTACGACACGGCCCAAGGCTTTGTGAAAGCCTTGGGTGTGAGGGCTTTGTCCGATCCGGAGGACGGCGACGGTTTCGATGACGGTTTCGGGCCTTCGATGTTTCGGGTTGAAGGAGCTCCGTTCGTAGTGAACCTTGTTACTAGTAGTAAGGCATCTGTTACTAGTAGCGTGGCACTTGTTTCTACTAGCTTCTTGTTACTACTAGTAAGGCACTTGTTACTACTTGCGATGCACTTGTTTCTAGCAGCTTCTTGTTACTAGTAGCAAGAATGCTCCTAGTAGTACGGCCAGGAGCCCCTAGTAGCGTCCTTGCTCGGCCAAACATCCACGGTGGGGAGGGAAAGAGTGGAGCACATCCCAATCAGTGAAACACCATTCGTGTCGAAAAAACATGAGAGTGTTTGCAGCATTCCCACCGGTCCCCACCCACTGGGTTTTCACCAACTTTTCCTATTACACTAGCAGCTGTTAAAACACTTCCAGTTAGGCTGGAAGAGGAGTCTCGGAGTCATCACAAGCTGAAACAACATCAGAATATTTGCCCGTCTATGGATGTGGAGGATGACGTGGGGCTGCAAGTGGAGAAGCCCCAGAGCACGGTGTCTTGGCTTGCTCATCAGGATAGGGTGTGAAATGGTGTACACTTGAAAAAAGTAGTGTGAGGAAAGGCTGCAAGTGCTACTCATCTGAAGGTTGGCATATTCTTGTTTAGAAATTAATCCAGGAACCAAATGAATAGCACGAGCGCTTCCTTGAAGAAACATGAGCTATCCTGCGTCCAGTAGGCAGTAGCGGCTAGCCCTTACTTAATTACATAAATATCGGTGCCTACTTAATTACGAATGAGGGAACCAGACGAAAAAGAAAAAGCACACTAGCTTTCTTGGGCCGTGCGGATCTGTTGGCGAGTTGGGGAGTGCACCCTCACAGATAGCGCATTTGCGCTGTAGTGCCAATGCCCCCAGGAACCAGGGTGTTTGTTATGTCGTGTGCGAACTTGAGTGTGCTCCGACTGTTTACGCGCTTTCCAGGAGGGACAAACCAAGGCTGTCAAGGATATTGTACATTGTACAGTGCCCAGACAACATTCTCAGGGACTCAATGTTGACTCTGTTGATCTCTAAAAGAGAACACCTCAGATCACATCAGACTGCTTGGACTTCATGGTCTTCCAGGAACTTCTCCGGAAATCTCTCAACCTATATTTGATATCTCTCTCTTGCATATTGTTCGCACACAAGTTCTGTATAAGGTTCAGTTTATAGTTATAACGATGCCCTTTGCTCCTAGTAGCGTTCTCAATTGTTTATTCTCCAAAGGTCAGAACACAACCAGCGTCACCATCCTTTCGTTTGCCAGATTAGACCTCGCCCCGTTCATTGAAAGGTCTGGCTGACGCACTTGGAGGAGATGGCCATCAAGCGGAGCTTCCGATTACCCATGGGCTGCCAAGGCTTTCACAAGGGATGTCCTCGCCTCTACTGAGCGACTGGATGGCCAAATTAAAGAGCGCGGAAGAGCGGGGATCATGAGGTTTTGGATGGTTTTGGTGGAATGTCAGTGAGATCGTCCAAACGTTATTGCCTTGCTTTCCACAACCTTTTCCCCGAGATGGTGCGCTTTTTGCATTGAGCGTTTCTCCTGTTGCCCGATGCCCAGTGGTCGACTGGCTCACGGAGCTGTTGACCTGACAGCAAATGTGCTGACCTGTTCTTTTAAGGCTTGGCCGCTGAAAGCGGTTCAGTCATTTAGCAGCTGGAAGAGACAAAGAAGCAACCAGAGGGGAAGCTGTGCCAATCTGTGCCGCAACGTCTAGTCCTTTGTTTGCGAATTGGCAATGGCTTGTTTTCACGAGTCCTTCACTCTGTCATTTTTGAATTGCCCCCATTTGCTTGGATCTGGTTGTGGATCTTCCCGCATCTCCATGCTTTCAATGATGGTTGAAATCCTTGGGGTTGTGATGATCAAAAGCTGCCAGAGCGGAGATGCGAAAAAGGAACTGCAGCACTGCAGCAGAGCCCTGGCATCGTTTCAGTGATGTTCTGTGCTCATGGACTATGCTTGGTCAACCTGGGAGATTGCGCAAGGTCGAACAGAGTGGTGGATGATCACATCCATCGAATAGTTTCCCAGGTTTGCACCTTCACCCCTTCACCATGCCGCCACATCCCAACACACAGCCACCATTGACAGGACAGACTTTTTGACAAGGAATTGGAGTTCAAAGGAAGAAGGATGGGATAAAAATAAAGGAGTCTTAAAGTAGGAGTCTAATGGTTCAAAAATGAAAGGACAAAGTGACAAAAGCAAAGGAAGAAGAACGCGTTATTTGCCAACTGGGACATACAGAGTCAATACCCGCGCCTCGCAACTTCGGGTCTTCGACGATCGTTTGGAACCAGCTTTTTTGGTCAGCCTGTTTCAGCGTGCAAAGTAATCCAATGAGGCTTGGTAAACGACACAAACTCATCAATTTCTGAAGCCTCCATCAAACATACGATGTGGGACACGAGTTCGTGTCCCACATCTCGCCACCCCACCCTTCAAGCTTGCGGCGGGCATTTCCAAGCTTGCTCAGCGGACCCTTTCTTCCTTTGGGTTGGGTGACATTTGGTCACCAAAGCCCATCACCTTTGCCCAGGACACCTGCATCACCCCAAGCGAATTCGCAGGTGCTGTTTCCGGATCGTGCAGCAGCGCATCCTTCGCTCTCGGTGGCTGTGAGCGAACCAGACTGGAACTTTTCGATACCCGATGCCCCCATTTTCCCTAGTCTGCAGTTATTGCTTGATGTAGCGTTTGACGCGGTCGTGTGAGCAGTGGCTTCTTGGACTTGTGCGAATGGTATCGTGAATGTCCTTGAAGACAGGATGCTTAATTGCCCTTCCAGGAAAATGTTGCAGGCATGGAACCTGCATCACTCCTCGTTCGTTTACTTTTTGTACGTGCTCGTTCTTCTTCCTATATTAAGTTATATATAGATATATTAAGTTTAGGTGCTGACGCGGCTTGGAACCATGACACCGCATGACTGGACACAGGGAACACTTGAGCACAAACAACATGTGACCGTGGTGAAACAAGCCCGTGCCTGGATGTTTCCAACATACCGAAAAACCAAGACGGACTGCGATGAGAAAAAGGCTTCTTGGGTTCGATCATCGTGTGCGTGTACTGTTGACTCTTGTTCCGACAACATCAATGAACACTCGAGGGGTTCGCTCAAGGTGTACCTACCTGAATCCGAGGATGACATGTGTCAACGCGCCAACTCTTTGTTGAAGCGATGTGGGTGGAGCAATTGCAGAGGACAAGCCCCAGAGATTGACGTGGCCGTGAAAAACTCATGTTCATTGGACAGCTGTATGCCTGCAACCTTCGTGTCAATCAGAGCTTGCTCATCCTTTGGCCAACGGATCAAGCATCAAACGCGAGCGTGCGATGCCGATACAGATGTCGGTTGCAAGGCCGCCGGGACGTTCAGTCCCCACGCAACCCGACCTGCTCTTCAGAAGCATCCCCCCTTCTTCGCTTTGAAGCCGGAGGCCAGCTGACATCTGGAGCCATCGACCTCGTCCGCTGTTGTGGCCAAACTGAAGTCCGAGCAGCCCCAATGACCCTGCAACCACTCAGCCCGGAGCTCCCAACGGCTATAGTCACTGTAGTCGTAGCCGCCCGTCCCGATAGCCTTTGCAGCTTGAGACCCACCACCTCTCCCTTTCTGCGTTCAAGCGCGTGCCGTTGGCTATCCTCCATCCTCTTCCTTGGTTCAATGGATGAGAGCAGCGGGTATCCAAACAATGGTTACCCTTTTGCTTGACTCAGTTTCCAGAAGCATTTGCGGCTGGCGGGATCGGGTCGTTTTTGCCTGCATTTGCATGATTTTGTTGAATTTTACTCATCCATGCCAGGTCCCAAATTCCAAAACAATCCAAAACACATCTCTACAGAGGGAGGAAATCTGCAGACTCACCCAAGGCCCCGCCCCTCTCAACAGCGTCCAAGCGCCACCGGAATCCAGCAGAACATCCAAAGATCAGCGCCCCAAGACCAGCAATCCAGCAATGAGTCGGCGGATTTTCACCTGTTGGTCGAAAAGTGCCAACGAGCCTCCCATCGAACGAGACATACCAGCATAGATTTTCTCGTCACTCCGGGGACACTGCGTCGACCATCGCCCCGATTGTGCTGGAGTGTCCTGGGACGCGGCGAAGAAGGTTCAGGTCTTCCTCCTTTTCCTCGTCGTCCTCCCGCGCTGCCCATCACTCACAGGGGCACGTAGCGACGTAGTCCAGGACAGGGTGGTCAACCTCCATATTCTGCTGTTTGCAGGCATCACAAGAACAGCAAAACTTGGACCAGGGGGGTGGGATAGCCTCGGTGGAGCACAGAAATGAAATGGATGTGTATGAACGGGAAGAGCTCAGCAAACTTTCGGGCAGCCGACGTAAGATCCCCTCGAAGAAACGTTCAGGGGATCATAGCAACATAGCAGGTTCTGAACACAAGGATTAGGAACTGGTCAATCTTGACCACACGTAGAAACTGCCCAGATCTCATATCTTCGAACAGAGACTCTGGCAGTTCCTACGTGAGTTGTGAAGCATCCGGTGCTCATGAACATGACACATTGTTGTATGAGACCCCCGTGAAGGAGGTGAAGAAGGGACTCTTGAGGGCCCGGTAGCGGCGGCTACAGGTCATCTCGTGAACTTTCCATCACCCAGCCTGACAGGGTGAGCGCCCACACTAGGGGTTCCAAAGCTTGATCACCAACAAATCTCAATGAACCTATGTTGAACATGTTGGGATGCAATCTGTAAATACAATGAGTGAACTGTATTTGACAAGATGCTAGCACAGCAGACACCACATAGAATTACAATGAATTACACAAGGAGGCAAAGAATTGCTAAAAATCACGAAAGCCAGCCGTTAGGCATGGCTAAGTTACTTTTGGCGAACGAAATGAATTTAGGAGGTCCGGGTGACAGATGCGACTCTGTGTCAACCTGCTGGTGTTTTTCTTTTTGGCGGAAATAACTTTCTTTTGGTGAGTTGACGATGCAAGAGATGTTAGGTATTTTCAGGTGGGATTGCACCACCTGCATCAGCAGAGAACTTGGGCACTGAGAGCTCTGGAAGCGTTTTTTTGTGGCCCTGATATTGTTTTGCATTTTTCCCGCAATCATAAAAGGAGGAGCTGTAGGTGCAAACAAAATTTCCAGCTCTGCATCTCTCCAAATGGCCCCGCAGACCTGATTACATTGCATGCGGAAGTGGGAAAGGCCCATCACACATGCACTGGGGAAAAATGGTACTGTGTTGCTTTCAACGCAGCCAAGGAACAACATGTTGCGGTCCCTGCACAGAAATCTGATGCGGATCAGGGAATGGTGGCAATTGCTGGGTGTCCTCGAGCTCTTGATGTGGCAACTTTCAGGATTGTTCAATCAGCGTGGCACATTTGCAGATGCATGGGCGCTTTGTGCGTTTCTTGTGTGGAGACGTCATGAGACGTCGACCGTCTTGAACGGCATTTTGTACGGCATTTTTACATCTTACATGTTCGATTGGACACCGTTTTTGTTTTCAGCCCCTGAGGGGGTTAGCTTGACAAAGCGGTCACAGGTGGAGATGGGGCGGTGCTATCCAACTGTTTTCAGTGCGCGCGCGTCAGAAGCAGAGTGCTTCGTTTTTTCAACGGTGCGTTTTGCAAATGTGAACAGAAAAGACGCGGAATCTTTTCACCTCAAAAGACCCTTGTGCCTCAAACGGCGTGTGGACAGAACAGGCTCAACTGAGAGTATGTGACATTCACACTCCCAACCTATACTGTTGAGCCTGTTGCCCTCAATGCACGCAAGTGATCCCACCATCCGCCTTTCAGCAAGACTTTCGTCAAGCAGTCAGCTAGCTGAAGGCTTGCAGGGACCCACTTCAAAGACCTTCCAAAAGTAGCCCGGATTTCGGGGCTCCAGCCTCAATGTGGCCAGGTCCACCAGCAGGCGCTTCTCCGAGGGAGCGCGGGGACCCCCAGCGCGGTGCACTGAGTCGAACAAGCTCTTGCAGTCGGTCATGGGCAGCAGCGGAAGATCGCCGGGGCGCCCACAGCACGGAAGCAGCCTCGAAGTAAATTGCGGAATGCGATCCCAGCTTCCCATCCCTCGAGGGCTGCCATCGTCTCGGGTGCGAAAGTGCTCCGACACACCCTCTGGCAGGCATGCGCTTTTCCCGATGGGCAATCACCACCACATAACCCAGCTGGGAGTAGATGCCAGTGTCCTTGGTCTCCGGGTGGTCCTCGTTTGCCACATTTGCCCGTGCTGCATCGTGGTAGATGATGATGGCCAGCTCGTTCCATTCCCAGCTTCTCTGTGTTCTCCTTCTGGGCCAGCATCATGCCCACGGCGTTTGACCACTTTGGGCGGTTTCTTGCTGCCTGACCTAGCGTGTCTCTTGCAAGTCTGGCATTGGAGCTGGTGGCACGCCTTCACGGATTCATTGCTAGCTCCTGCCAACTTCAGATGTCTTGCTAGGTCGGCATTGGAAG